GACACCATATGTTTCGCAAGCTACCTCCAAGCTCGAGTTGAGATGCATGATATCGAGATACCTTCACCTCATTGCACCAGACGTGTCTGAAATTGAATTCACTGTGTCACTAGGAGGAGCGATGTCTAGCAGCACGCTTTGATTCATAGAATTGTTAGCGCACACCGTGGAACAGTGCCATTGAAGTCGCTAGCTTTCTCTTGCTGCACGAGATACAGCGCAAAACTTTTCACAGAGGCCTGGGTGGATTGCACGCTGGGTGGCTTGATTCACTTGATGGGTTACGAAAAGAGTCTCTTTAGGAATATCTCGCCTAACGGGGACGTGCTCCTCCTTCTGGATGGATCCCTTGACCAATGTTCGGCCTAGGCACAATTTGGTAGCGTTACGTAGTACTTGGTGGCAGCTTAGCTAGAGGGCTTCGACGCCTGACAAATACGTGTTAACCACAGCTGCAGGGGCGCTACAGCCGAGCAAGCCGCTCGGTTCCGTTCCTAGGCATTGGCCTCGATTTAAACTTCGTCACCCTTTCCGACTGGCGTCCCACAACGAGAGTCTGCGCAACTTCCCACTCATGTTGATGCCACCGTCAGTTGTACTGCAGTGTGATGGATGAGCGCATCGGCTTCTGAAAAACGTACCCAAAAAAGCGCTCATAACGGGACATCTCGCATGTCTTTCAATTCCTGGTCGGCCCCCAATCGCCCCCCCTGTACATACCCGTTCCCGCTATCGGCAGAAAAGATTGAGCGAGACTCCTGGTGCACATTTCGCGTATGTCGTCAGCTCACTCATTTCGCGAGATGTCGGCTCCTCCTCCGAATACCTCTTCTACAAAGCAGCCTCGGCCTCTAGCATGCATGCTATGCCAACGTCGAAAGGTCAAATGTGACCGACTATACCCGTGCGCGAATTGTGTCAAGGTCTGTCTTGGGAAGTGTCAGCAACATATTGTAATGCTATGGATCTCTGTCTCCGAGACTGAGGAGCTAGAGCTTCCGCATATCTATCGGACCACACATCTCTTTTGTTGTTATTGCTTCCTTGCTTGCTCTTGAACTCTTGCTGACCTCTATATTCTCCTACCTAGTCTAATACAACATGTAGTCCTAGCATTCCGGCACCAGTGCGAAAGCGTAGACGTCCTAATGCGGAGCTGCAAGCAAGGCTTGCTCGTTGTGAGGAGCTTTTGGCCCGATATGCGGCTGCAAGCAATGAGCCCCTAGAAGATAACGGCACAGTCGCTCCGCCACAGTCTTCCAGCATTCCCCAGTATGAGAACCACGAGGTCAACTGGAAACCCGCTGGCAAGCTTGTGACGGAAGGTGGTACTGTGCGTTTCATGGACAACTTCCTATGGGCCACCGTTTATGAAGAGGTACGACCTTTGGAATATCCATCGCCTGGCTGCGCTTCTTGCTAAGAAAGCAACACCTTTAGCTACGTGGGATGCGAAAACTTGTGGAACGCGAAGAGGATATCGCTGAGGCTGAACCGTCCGACTGGGACCCCGGAGCTTCAATGCCCGATTACAGCGAATATCTTCTTGTCGGCGGCAACTTGCCGTCTGAGAAACCTCATGATCTTTACCCCAACGCCGGTCAGATTTTCGGCTTATGGCAAATATTTCTCGAGAGAGTGAATTCTCTTACGAAAGTCATACACCCTCCCACCTTGCAGCAGTCCGTGGCAGAAGCTGCCGCTGGTCCAGGGACCTTGCCACACAACATTGACGCTCTTCTCTTCGCCGTATACAGCATGTCCATCGTCTCCATGACTGATGATGAGTGCCTCGCAATGCTAGGCTCCACATGCAAAGCTGCCTTTTGGCGGTTTTCATCCGGAGTACGAGCAAGTCTGCTCCAGGCGCAGTTTCTTAAATCTCACGATCTGACAACACTCCAGGCATTAGTTTTGCACATTGTATGGCTACTTCTTCTTGCTTGTTCCTGACTGTCTTGCTAACTGTGTCCAAGATGTCAATACAGGGCAGGTGCAACATCCATGGAGCTTGGGTTTTGAACGGTATCTGTGTACGAATCGCCCAGAAAATGGGCCTCCACAGAGATGGGGAGCTTCTCGGCCTTCCACCTTTTGAAACTGAGATGAGGCGGCGGATTTGGTGGCAGATTTTCATGTTGGACTCCAAATTCTCCATGATATCAGGGCTGAGCCAATCACTGCTTCCTCGACCTAGCGACTGTAAACTTCCCAAAAACCTGAATGACGCGGACTTACATGCGGGTGCAACGGAGCGATATCAGGATCGCGAAGGCCCGACAGACATGGTAATTCCACTCTTGGTGTATCAAGTTGGCTTTTGCATTCAGCAGCAACAAGACATCGAATCGTTAATGCTCTACAACGAATTGAGCACCCTGAGCTCAGGAAGAAGAAGCAAAGTTCAGTCGGCACAAATGAGCGCCTTTATCAAGAATCTCGAGAGTCGGCTCAATGCTGTGATCGATAAGAACTCCGATCCTACGGCTGGTCCTGTCCACGAGTTGGCCAGCCTTCTGAAGTCTCTGATACTTCAAAAAGTTCAGGAAACGAGTCGCCCTCCCCAGGAACAACCAGAATGGGGATCGGAGATCATGACACCCAAAGATAACCTATTCAAATGGTCTGTCATGACCACCGAGCAGAACATTAACGCCTATAGGTCGAATAGACACCCCGAATTCCACTGGTTTCTCAAGTTGCTATTTCAGTATGACGTAGTAATTTTCATGATTGGCCAGCTTAGCCAGCGAATGACCGGGTCTATAGTCGAGCGGGCTTGGCAGCTAGTGCCGTCTCTTTACGAGTTTCATCCCGAGTTTTTGGACCCCTCCCAGGAGTACAACATCGCTCTTGCCAAGTTTACGATGAAGGCCTGGAAGAATCGTGATGGCTATCTTTCATGTCAACAAGGACTACGACCGGAAGAACCAGACTACATGAAGCGCATCAGACAGATGCTAGGGTCCCCCTTGAACAAGTCTGCTGCTGAGACCGGGCTGCCAGTTCATGAAGATGCACCGAGAGCCGGGAGCCAAAATGGACAAGCCTCTATGGAACAATTGCTTTCAACTTACCTCGGTGCAGCTGCAGCATGGGATTGTCTAGCGCACCCCGACGAAGAGCGCATTCAGAGGCAGCTCCCCATGTTCGAGGATTTGGACATGACAGCACCAAGAAACTGGTAATTCTGTGGCTACAAAGCGCAAGTATAGAACCCACAGGCTGAGGTTTGCCACTGTAGCTACTTGGCTACCCAAGTCAGGAGTCTTATTGTGATTTCGAGTCTGGAGAGGCATAGCCCGTTTGTGGGTCTTTACATCAGTGAAAGGGGAGCACCGGTGTTGCAAGCCAGTATACGCGTTTGCCACACTAGTCTATTCTACTACCAAGTCATATGCCTACAAGAGCTGCCAGTATGTACTTGGTTTTGAGACTTTATTTACAGAATGATATTGCATTATAAACTCGATAAAGGATTAAGACCCTCGGACTTTACCGTCTGGGTCATATGCAGAACGAGGCTCACTGTTTATACAGACCCTGACTTACCTACCCTAGGTATATGATATAAACATCGTCAACGGAGAAGTTCTATTGACTAGCTGCACTCCATGGCTTTTGCCCAAGAGGTAACAGCTGAAGAATCTTATGCCTACATGCAGTATACTCGCTTGTAGACCTAGTCCCCACTTGTCACAACGGCTACTTCAGGCGAGGTAAGACTAAAGATGCCAAACGGTTAATTGAGACGGAGCCGGTAGTCCCTAGTAGCTGGAATAGGAAATGTACGAGTTTTATCTTTCAATATTAGAAAGGCTTCTTAAGATAAAGCAGAAGGTCTTCCACATCTTAGACCACACGTCGAGCTCGCATACGGCATCACCGAAAGTGCTTCGGCATGTGTCTTAACCTCATCTATCTCAGAGTCAAATGCACATTGCTAACCCCCAGACAGACAGTCTATATAAAAGCTAATCAAACCCAATGTCCTACTCCATCATTCCACGATTCATGATGCGGCATTCCAATGATGGCTCCGGAATCTGTGGAGTTGGAAATTATCGCGAGAGGTTTACTTCAATTAGCAATCACCAATACGGTTTAGCCTATCAAAACCAGTACCACTTTAAGTGCATCCTCTTGTGTTGTTGATGCATCTAATTTCTCACCATATCAGATGCGATAGAGAGCCATGAGGCTCAGGGGTGAGCTATGAGTCGTGTAAACCACTAGTCCTATACAGCTCGCTGACAGCGCCTATTCAAGTTAGCTTAGATGCACTGCCAACGACCCTCTTCTAGAAGAAAGCTTAAACACTTTTCTAGAGCGCACTGCTCGAAGAAGTCGACCGAAAGTCTCCGGACACGGGCTACTCGATGGACAATCACTCGGTCAGACCGATACCCCTCCTGAGCGCCGCTGGCGATTGCGATCCATTTAGATACCAGTGTTCATCAAAGCTCGAACCGCATTCTGAGCAAAGAACTCCTGGAAAGACGGCCGACGCAAAGTATCTGTCTACGGAGATGGCTTGCGACGATTCGACTGGGGATCAGAGCTTGCGTTAGGTACATGTGCACTTTTCCGCGGGGCAGATCGTCCCAAAGAATGTTAGCCCCATTAAAGTTGCTTAAGACGAAAGCTTGAATTAAGTAGACCAGGAGACTTTTGCGGTGGCAATCTGATGTCTGCATTAGACGAAGATGCGAAAGCGGAATTATGGTTTGAACCCCGGCCAGGGTTCATGTACATGTGTTGATGGGAGCGATGATGACAGTTGGTAGTCGATGTGAAGAGAACCGATTAACAGACAGATAGCAAGAAAAACACTATATAATGTAGAGGCATCCGCAGGATTGAAATAACCTGAACAGTCGACCAAGCAGCTTCAACAGATTCCCTTATTATAAGTCGTTCACTTTCACTCTCTTTCATCACCATTCAGGTCCCTCGTTTAGCCTGAGCACTATCACACCCAAGTCAATATCAACACCAAAATGCGTTTTTCTACCGTTGCCGCCGCCATCCAGGCCGTTGCCTTTGTTCAGGCTGCCGCTCTGCCGGCTATTCCCGCTGGCGAGCTCATCGAGCTCGTCAAGGACGATGTCACCTCCCTCCCTGGTGATGCCACCGTTGATCTAGTTGGCCGCAAGGAGGTCAACGAGGTTCACGCCATCGAGAGCATCGCCGAGCAGACTAACTCTGCCGACAAGAGTGTCGTCGTTCGCGAACTCGAGAAGCGCACGCTTAACATCAAGCTTGGCGCCGACACCGGCAATCGCTACCGCGCTACTATCAACGGCATCGCCATCATTGTCCACTTCTTCTTCGACCTTGCCATCGAGAAGACCGTCTTTTACTGGACCATTGACGGCACCAACCCTGCCCCCGGAGACCTCAGACTCGGCTTCCGCGACATGACCTCCGGCGCCGGATATCCTGACGCTCGCTACGCCCACGACAACCGCTACTACTTCCCTGGCTTCCGTCTGTACGATATTGTCAACATCTTCAAGCCTTAGATAATTGAAATATGGCCTTTGGATCAAGAGGCAGCCGATGTAACGACATAAGTTAGTATCTAACTGCTGATTAGATAGTCAAGGAGAAAGATAGATTTATCAAATTCAAAATAGGCCAATTTAGTTAGTGCCGTACAGAAAGACGAATCGACGCTCAATTCTTCCCACAGGCCTGCCTCATAGCTAACGCTAGTCCCGGAATTCCAGCTGTAACTCGGTCCGTAAGTCTTGCAGTATCTTGTTTTCGATATAAGCATTATCAGTGCCGGCCCTAGAGTAAAATGACATGATGACAATGATAATGGACATTGAGAGCAATGCCTCTGTGTGAATAGGTGTACGATACAGGGAAGAAGCTCACAGAGGCCAACTACTATTAGGGTCTAGAAGATGAATTACTGAAATCTGCCCTTCCCTCGAGGTATACTCTCAGCGTTCTATATATACCTAAGCTGCTCCTTTGTTGCTTAGTCCTCCTCTCAATGCCCCCCTTAAGCTATCCCTTAACCGGCGCGGCCTGACACTCTGGAGGTATTGAGTTAAAGTGGGATCTAAGTCCAGCACAAATTTCAAGTCCTACGGGAAAGATTTAAAATCAATAAAAAGCAAGTATGTTAACTTAAAGAACTAACTTACCTCCAACTTTCCATCCAGTTCTTCTGATATACAGAGATTAAACATGAACTTCGCAGCGCTCTTCTTTCTTTTCTGAAGGTGTATTATATTCTTGGTTTTGTCAGTCTTTCATAGTCTGGAATGTTGCCGTGGAAACTCTTACCTGTTCAACGGTGCCCTGCACGATGTATCGTACGACAGTGACCTGCCGCATCTGACTCATTCGGAGAGCTCGCCCAACCGCTTGATCTTCGATGGAAGGGTTCCACTGAGGCTCTACTATGTGTACATAGTTGGCGGCCGTAAGATTTAGACTGACTTGCTGTTAGCGCGCGTTCTCGGACCTTGCGGTTGACGTCTTTTCGCACCCCAAAGCTCCTGTTTCAATAGACATCAATGAAACGCATGTGTCATCTCTTTCTCGAAAACGTTGAGATCGTTGTGATCTTTCGGCATAGCTAGTTCGCCCATCAACTTGCACGTAAATCACTGCCATACTTCCAAGCATTTTCGAAAGGAGATCTAGGATAGATGTCCAATAGGAGAACACAATACTTAAATGCATGTTAGTGGCCGGAATTTGGAAGGTTTTAATGTCAATGTCGTATAAGATATGTACTGCTTGGATGGAGATGGGCATGTATGAATTTTCTCCATCACCGCGGAAAGTTTTGCCGAGCAACCAGTCGATGTTATCAATTTCTCCTCTCGTCTCGGGGACAAATCCGGTAACGGTGAGTTTCCGTCTTGACTAGATCCAAAATTCGAGCCAGGGCTAGAAGCCTGAAGGGACCGACCACAATCCGGACAGAATTGAAAGGATGCCAAGAGTAATGCTGCGTCTTCATCTCGGGACGTATGACACTGCTCGCATCCCATATTCTCTACCTGAGGATCACCCAGATATCTCTGAGAGCTAGAGTATTTAGGAAAGGTTTCACTGTCGCATCGCATTCTCATTTTGAGAATAGCGGTGAACAAAATGCTGTACTTCTTGATACTCTTTCCCTTACTTACCGTATCGTCAATTTCGCGCTTGGTTTGATGGAGAACATGATCGTAAAGTTGCCTTTCTGTAATAGACAAAATGACTGGAACTTCTTCTTCTATTGAGTCTGGGAGTTGAAGCAGTTTTGCTGTTCTTCGTATGCAAACCTCCCGAAGCCATGAACGCAGAGGCTTCGAGAAGTGTTGACCTCCCAGCGAGAGGGGATCTAAGACATCTTTCTGGAACAACGTTCGGGTCGCCAAAGCGGCAACATCATCGAGCCTGTTCTGGATTGGGGTTCCAGCAAGACACCACCGGTTCTGAGCTGATAGTTTGACTGCGGATTCAAATTGTCTTGAATTCGTATTACGAATCCAATGGGCCGTAATATTTGTTAACTCATCTCTGTCCGTTGCTGGGTTGTCAACGACATACCTTCATCAAGAACTATCCGAAACCACCTCAGCTGTTGCAACAACTTCCGCCCCTTCTCTTCGGCGACCATGGTGGCGTAGGTAGTCAACACAATCAAACGCCAACACCCATCATTCACGTCAATATGTCGCAACAAACTCTCTGCCGCGTTTCCGTCCCCGAGGGAAAATACGAGTTCCTTTGCATCATCCCAGACAAGCCAGGAAGTCGCGAGAAACGCATCGAGGTCCGATCGTAAGTATCTATTTGCAAGATTTTCGACCCTGGGTCTTGTCTGCTAACTTTGCCCTTTATAGCCAGCATTTTACTGACGCCCTGCCTTTGATGGATAGTGGGGTCTGGAAGGCAGGCAGCATGGATATTCCTCTTATTGAACCATTAATATCCGCGTGGCATCCGACTAAGCAATTCGACTAGGTGCCCTGATGGGCAGTGTTCCCAAGAGCGATGATTCGGCCGATATGGCCTTTGTCAGCAGTCACGTCGTAGTCGTTAGTGACTCCATTGAACAGGTGCGAGAGGACCTAAGGAAAGATGTATATGCGACGTCCGGTGTTTGGGACGTAGAGAACGTGAGTGCACGATGCTTGTGGCATGACAATGGTTCTAATTTTTACCTTCAGGCTCAAATTTACGCATTCCGTGCTGCGTGGAGAAATCCCTAAATAGTTCTCATGATCAGATTGCCAAATGTATATCAGTATTGTGTGGCCAAGAACAAACAAGCATTCAGCAGAAGGGGGCACACAGGCACTGGGCGAAACTTCCACTTAGTATGTCACGAGTTATGGCACGCAGCAATGGGCATACGGAGTGTGGTAAAAGTGGCTTAACATATTAAAGTAGAAATAGACAAAAGGAAAAGGTCTATATACACGATGTCTGAGATAGACACGTGATTCAGCACGTGACGGGCACTTCGTGAGATGCGGTTACTATCCCTGTTACGTGACATAGTACGATGGATCGGGGTGGGGCCGGGTCGGTCTCGGCCTCCGGCCCTTGGCTCTCAGGCACCTACATGACGAATCTGCAGTCTTGTATCCGCTCGACTCAGCCTTGCACAGAATTTGAAAAATATATCAAGACTTTGGCAGGTTTCAGCTTGTGAAGATCGCTGATGCCAGACTACCTACTGAACCAGGAGGACGTCTAGGGACGTGAGTGGATCCAAAACCCAGCGAGCATCTCGCCTAAATCCTACAAACATAGCGATAGATCTGGTATCAGATGATTTCAATTGGTGCCCCCGAAAATTGATTCCCTCTGGGACCTTGCAAGCTGTCCTACGAAGCGGTCCTTTGGGGACTTTCGGCAAGTTTATGGGACTTCGGCGCGTTTCCAGCATGTACGTGTACGGTACGTGTCCGCGTTCTTGGGACCAGGGGTTTGGAGACACGTGCATGCTCAACGGTAAGCTGACTGCAGGCTGCCAAGCGAGTTTTGCCGGTTCAAGAACTCGGAGACCAATGATTATGCGCTAAATATGCAACCATAATGCCAGTGGATTCTCCTCTCATTGGCCTGGAGTCCGATCTTTGACCTTCCCTGATGGGGACATTGGCGGTGTTCGTTGACGCGATAGCTGATATTCGACATAAAAAGGTCAGTATCCCTTCGTTCAGCCCCCAAAGTCCCTTCAGACCCTTGTCTTAGGAACTCTTGCGCATCGCAATGATGAAGGACGCAACACTCGTGATCGGCTTCGTCGCCACCCTTGTTGCCGTTTTTATTGTAGACAAGATCATTCAAGCGAGAAAGAATGCGCAACGCCTCCCTTTGCCACCTGGCCCCAGAGGCTATCCGATCATACAAAATATGCTCGACCTTCCAAAGAAAGACACATTTGCAGCCCCTCAATATGCTAAATTCAAGGACAAATATGGTGAGCACCGACACTGCAGCGACAAGTCACTGCCGCTGACCACTTCTGCAATGCAAACAGGTCCCATCACCGCTCTTACGGTCATCGGAAAACCGTTTATCGTGATCAACGATCCTCAGGTGGCCTTGGATATCTTGGAGAAGAAGTCCGCCGAGTTCTCATCGAGACCCGCCTTGACATTCATCGGTGAATTGTACGTGTTGGCACTGCTCGAACTCTTTCGGTCTCTCGATGCCGAATCACATCTAACAGGATTTTAGGGTTGGCTGGGATAAGGCCACGGGAGGCATACCTTATAATGACACCTTCCGCCTCCATCGCAAAGTCTTTGCCCGCATCATTGGCACCAAAACAACGGCGGCACAATTTGATGACCTCCAGGAGGCCGAAGTCGGCCACTTCTTGTTGCATGTTCTTGACAACCCGGGGAATCTCAAGGGACACATCCACAAGTAGGTTCATGGTGCGATATCGTTCATAGGCCCGGTTTGATAGCTAATGCATGCGTGATTCCTAGAGAGGCTGGGACTGTGGCTCTCAAAATTGCTTATGGCTATAACGCCGACCAGTTCAAGAAAGATCCGCTCCTCAGCAGGATGAACAAGGTGATGGATGACTTTGCACAGTCAGCCGTTATCGGACGGTACTTGGTTGACTTCTTTCCGATATGTAAGTTGATTACAGTGAATGTGATGTGTTGAGTTGGAGTCGAGATCTAATCCACCGGAGATCGACAGTGAAATACCTCCCTGACTGGTTCCCTGGAACTGAATGGAAAAGACTTGCCAAGCAATACCGGGCCGAGTTTCACGATGCAGTTGAAAGACCTTACAAGTTCGTCGAAACTCAAATGGCTGAAGGCAGAGAAAACGTTTCGTACCTCGCGAAAGCGATGGCCACCAGCGGGGACACACCGGAGGACGTACACAACAATATGTGGACCGCAGGATCAATCTTCAGCGGCGCTGCTGACACGGTAAGTCACCCAACACTCTTGAGTAAAAGATGAAAGACGGCTGACCAATATCAGTCTGTGGCATCGGTAAATGCCTTTTTCCTGGCCATGGCCAAGTTTCCCGAGGCGCAAAAGAAAGCGCAGGAAGAAATTGACCGAGTGATTGGCAGCGACCGTCTGCCTACTGTCAGCGATCGTGAAAGCTTGCCATACCTTGAGGCACTCATTCAAGAAGTACTACGCTGGCATACAATTGCCCCCATGGGTCTCCTCCACATGAGCTCAGATGAGGCTACCTACTCTGGCTACCGAATTCCTAAGCGTTCGATGGTGCTCTGTAACATCTGGTAGGTCTGGTGTCTTGGCTCAAACGAGCAGCTTGGTTTCGTTTCCACTCCTGAGGAAATTTTAATGACAATATGGATGCATAGGTGGTTCATGAACAACCCAGAAGTTTACAAGGAACCCCATCAGTTTCGACCTGAACGATTCCTCGGAGGCGAAGGACGCGAGCCAGAGCCCGATCGCCGTAGATACGTGTTTGGGTTCGGCCGCCGTATTTGCCCTGGCAAGATCCTTGCCGACAACTCGCTTTACCTCAACTTCGCTCAGTCTTTAGCTGTGTTTGACATCGGGAAACTAGTTGTCGACGGGCAAGAGGTCGAGCCAGAGTTCACGCCATTACCAGGGGCAATCAGCCACGTAGCCCCTTACGAAGCGACAATCAAGCCAAGATCGCCACGCCATGAAGAGTTAATCCGATCCATCGAGCGGAGGTTTCCCTGGCAAGAGTCAGACGCTAAGGGACTAGAGGCAGTGTAAATCCTCTTTTGTAATGATCCATTCATGTTTACCTAGAAAATCACATGATCCAATTCCTTAACTTGGATATAGTAGAAGAGGCAAGAATGAGTAGATAATTCTCTAAATATCGATCTTTACGTACAAATTAATAGTGTTAATCACATTCAATACTCTCTATTAAAGTGTCGCATAGGCACGTAACGTAGCCGTTAAAAGTGTTAACCACTAGTAGTTAAATTATTAGAACTATGTTTCTTACTTAACGGACGATTTTTATATTAAAGTCGTGGGAAACTATCCCTTTAGAGCCGATAGTTTTATAATAAAACTAATAAGATCCTAGTCTCCTTAGTAGTAATTGTTTACGTTAATAGCTTAGTAATAATTATTTATATCAATAGCCTAGCGTATACGATTCTTAGGATTTCAATTAGTTCTAATTAAAGCGCGGGTTTTTATTAGTTATATATTAAGGCTATACGGACCTTTTTTATTTAAAAAAAGATATAATATTAAAAAACTAGTCGTTATATAAAAAAACTAGTTAACGCTCTTTATAAATTCGAATTAAGTAATTTCTATTTTCTAAAATCGGTATATTATATTTTAACTACTTTTTTACTATAAAAACCGCTTTTTATAACTTCGATACTATCTTTTTAAAAAAAGTTTAGTATATTTTTTATTACTCTCCCTTAGTATTATTCTCGTTAACATATTTTTATTAAGTATATTTAATTATTTCTTATCTAAATATTATATACTTTTTTTATTTTATTAAAAGACTTATTACTAAGTAAATCTATTTTTTTAGATTTTTTATTTTTACTTAGTATAAACATATTTTATATCGCTCCCTTAATTATTTTTAATTAGTATATTTTTTAAGTACTTAATATATACTCTTTAAATATAAAAACTAGTTATTTATATAAAAACTGGTCTTTTATATAAAAACTAGTTACTTATATAAAACTAGTCTCTTATATAAAAACTAGTTTTTTATATAAAAACTAGTCTCTTATATAAAAACTAGTTACCTATATAAAACTAGTCTTTTATATAAAAACTAGTTATTTATATAAAATTACTCTCTTATATAAAAACTAATTATTTATATAAAACTACTTTCTTATATAAAAACTACTTTTTTATATAAAAACTACTCTTTAATATAAAAACTGCTCTCTTATATAAAAACTACTCTCTTATATAAAAACTACTTTCTTATATAAAAACTAGTCTCTTATATAAAAACTAGTCTCTTATATAAAAACTAATTACTTATATAAAACTACTCTCTTATATAAAAACTACTTTTTTATATAAAAACTACTCTCTTATATAAAAACTAGTTTCTTATATAAAAACTAGTTATTTATATAAAACTAGTTTTTTATATAAAAGCTAGTCTCTTATATAAAAACTAATTTTTTATATAAAAACTAATTATTTATATAAAACTACTCTTTTATATAAAAACTACTTTTTTATATAAAAACTAGTTTCTTATATAAAAACTGGTCTCTTATATAAAAACTAGTTACTTATATAAAGATCGGCTAGTTATTATTCTTCTAATAAATTTCTTAAAAACTTAACTCCTATATAAATACTTAACGTACTCCTAAGCTTTTATTTAAAATCCTTTTTATTTATTCTACTTTTTATTTTATTATATTTTATATATTCTAACTTTTATAACTTTCTATATTACTTTTATAATATTTTATATTTCTTTAATAACTATTATTTTTTTATTATACTTATTTAGGAGGTTTTATTTTTTATATTCTTTTTTTTATTTTTACTAGCTACTTTTTATATTATAAATAAAAAAATAAATAATTAATTCCCTTTACTAAGACTACGTTAATAAACGTCTTTATAATTATAATATTTATTTTATTTATATTTTTAATATTAGCGTTACTTAGTAAACTTTACTAATTCTTTTAATACTATATAATTTTCTTATTAATTAACTTTAAGCCTTAATTAAAATAATACTTTAATATATTACTAAGTTATTTTTATTAAGGATATTTAGGGTTAGGGTTAGGGTTAGGGTTAGGGTTAGGGTTAGGGTTAGGGTTAGGGTTAGGGTTAGGGTTAGGGTTAGGGTTAGGGTTAGGGTTAGGG